TTCGTATAACCCCCATATAATGTCACCCCTGATATTCGGTATTTTGATGATTTTAGAGACATTATTTACCGGAATTGTTTCAAATTTTGTATTTGAAGTTCGTAAAGGGTACTACAGCCTAAGACAGAAAGTGGTCTATGGATGTTCACGTCTTCGTATAGCACCCATATAAAGGTACCTCCAAATATTCGGTATTTTGATGATTTTAGCGGCATTTTTTACCGGAATTGTTTCAAATTTGGTATTTGAAGTTCGTAATGGATACTACAGCCTATGACAGAAATTTGTCTATGCAGGTCCACGTCTTCGTATATCTCCCATGTAACGGTACCCCCCGATATTCGGTATTTTGATGATTTTAGCGACATTATTCACCCGAATTGTTTTAAATTTGGTATTTAAAGTTCGCAACGGAAACTACAGCCTAAGACAGAAAGTTGTCTATGGATGTTCACGTCTTCATATAGCCCCCATATAACGGTACCTCCCGATATTCGGTATTTTAATGATTTCGGCGACATTGTTCACCGGAATTGTTTCAAATTTGGTATTTGAAGTTCGTAATGGGTACTACAGCTTATGACAGAAAATTGTGTGTGCAGGCTTATGACAAAAGTTGCGTATGCAGGTCCACGTCGTTGTATAGACCCACAAAATTTTTAATGGATTTTAATTTTTTTGAAAATTGTCAAATTTGTACCTAATGGTGGGGGGTATTCAAAGTTCGGCCCAGCCGAACTTACAGCTTTTTCACTTATTGTAGCATTTATTTTATTATAATTTTTTTATATTTCAGATTTTAGGCCCAAGTGGATATAATTGTTAACTCTCAATGTATTTTCTGTTAAATCTTAAAATTAATATCTTGAGAGAGCAACCAAAGTTCGCGGATTTCAAACAAGGTTAGCTTCTAAAATCTATACCTCCTCTGCAACACACAAAACCTAAGTTATACCTCAACTAGAATTTCAAACAATTCCACAATAAACCACTAATTAATTTCTTTGCAATTAACATCATCATGATCTGCATCGCCATCTAACCACTCTCCGTTTCAAATTAGAGTAGCAACTAAAGTAATCTGTGTTTTTTCTTCTGTTTCTTTGGTTTCTTTCGTGGCTGGTTACATCTTTTGGGGCGATTAGTGTCAATGGCGTTAGAGATTCTAAATGGGAGGGAAACAAATAATCCAAACCGGTTAACCTTCAAAAGTTCTATTCTTATTCTGTCTGTCTGTCTGTCTGTCTGTCTGTCGGTCGGTCGGTCAGTCTGTCTGTTTGGGTTGTATAGCTTTCATAATCAGCTGTAGCAGTAGTTGGACTACTATTTACCACTCTGAGATGATGATCACACACACCTTGCCAGCCAACCGAACACACATCACACAGAGAACAGAATCTTAGCGCATTAAACAAATAAAATAACCAAAAGCACACATTGGAAATGGACGAGGTGTCTCTTCATAAAATCATGGTGAGACACTACGACATGATGAGACCACTATGACAGTGGACCTGACTTACATAATAATGAGGAGAGTTTTTTTTTTTTTTTTTTTTTTTTGTGTCGTGCTGTTGATTAGTATGGCAGCGGTAGGTATCGAAATGTATCCAACTACCGCCTTGCTATGTAAGGCAACGGAACAACTATGATTCTTTTCTATGTGTGTGGAACACAGTGTTTTGGAAAAAGAGAAATGAAAAAGTATTATTCGGTTTTGCCAATGCCAAGATACATAGCTATAGTTGAAACTATGTTAAACATTCCGAAAATTATATTTCGCTTAAAAAATACAAAAGTAAAATCATTTATTTTATTCAGATTTTTTTTTTTTGGAAAAATACGATAAAAACCCTATCAAAAGCCTTTACCTTAGGTTAAAGGAAACATTAGAAGAAATGTGACAACAACCATTTAAATGCCGAATATTGGGAGGTATCGTTATATGGGGGCTATACCAAATCGTGAACCATGCAATGTTTCGCCAACGGAGCTAGGACCAATTATGACCTACAAATACCAATTTTTAGTCCAATCCGCGAAAATATGTGGCAAAAATTATCAAAATACCGAATATCGGGAGGTACCGTCATATGGGGGCTATACCAAAACGTGGGCCTATAATTACAATGACTCGCCATACGAACTGGGACCCATTATGATCTACAACTACCAATTTTCAGAGAAATTCGTGAAAAAATGTGTCAAAAATCATCAAAATACCGAATATTGGGAGGTACCGTTATATGGGAGCTATACCAGAACGTGGGCCGATATATCTAATTTTCAATAACAACCATCCTAGACACAATACAAATTACTGTTCTAAATTTTGGCGCTCAACGTCAAATAATGTGGGCTGTATCGTGATTTCAACAGACAGACGGACATCGTTAAATCGACTTAGAATTTTGTGCTGATTATGAATATATATGCTTTATGGGGTCTACGACGAATATTTAAGGATGTTACAAGCGGAATGACAAAGTTAATATACCCTCTTTCCAAGGTGGAGGGTATAAAAAATGTATTGGTCATCTAGGGCTATGACTATGCTTATTATTATTATACATATAAGTGAAAACAAGTAAAAAAGGTGTAAGTTAGGCCAGGCCGAACTTTGAATACCCTCCACCATTTGGTACGAATTTAACAATTTTCAAAAAAATAAAAAATAAAAGGATTTTAAAATTATGTTAAAATCATGTAGCTGTATATTAGAGTCTATATGGACCTGCATAGGCAACTTTTGTCACAAGGCAACTTATATCACAATATTCAAATGCTAAACTTGAAAAAAAATCTGTTTATAATGTAGCTAAAATCGTCAAAATCGTCGAATATAGGGAGGTACCATGGTGGTTATAAAACGTGGATCTGCACAGAAAATTTTTTGTCATAGGCTGTTATATCGAACTTCAAATGCGAATTTTGAAACAATTCCGATAAATAATATCGCTAAAATCATCAAAATACCGGATATCGGGGTGTACCGTTATATGGGGGCTATACGAAGACGTGGACCCGCATAGACAATTTTCTGTCATAGGCTGTAGTATTCATTACGAACTTCAAATGCGAAATTTGAAACAATTCCGGTAAATAGGTTCGCTAAAATCATGAAAATACCGAAGATCGGGGGTACCGTTATATGGGGGCTATACGAAGGCGTGGTCCTGCACAGACGATTTTTTGTGATAGGCTGTAGTATTCATTACGAACTTCAAATACTAAATTTGAAATAGTTCCGGTAAATAATGTGGCTAAAATGATGAAAATACCGAATATCGCGGGGTACCGTTACATGGGGGCTATACGAAGACGTGGACCTACATTGCCCATTTTCTGTTTTATGCTGTAGTATCTATTAAAAACTTTAAATACCAAATTTGAAACGATTCCGGTAAATAATGTAGCTAAAATCATCAAAATACCGAATATCGGGAGGTACAGTTATATGGGAGCTATCCGAAGACGTGGACCTATATGGCCCATTTTCAATACCAAAAGTCCTGTAGACATAGTAGACATTTGAGTAAAATTTTATCAACCTACTTCATTTCGTTCGGAAGCTAGAGTGATTTCCACAGACGGACAGACGGACGGACATTGATATAGAATAGAATTTTATGCTGATCAAGAATATATATACCTTGTAGGGTCTAAAATGTATATTTCGAGGTGTTACAAACGGAATGACAAACTTAATATACCCTCCACAGTACACAGGAGGGTATATTAAGTTCGTCATTCTCATCGAAATAATAATTTTAGACCTAACAAAGTATTTTCTTGATAAGACTTAGGATAGGAAGCTAAAATTTTACACATATCATTCTTTTGTCTGTAGGCGGGTAAAATTTCAATATATCATACAGCCCCTATGTAACGGTACCGCCGATATACGGTATTTTGATGATTGTAGCCAAAATTTTCAATGAAATTGTCTGAAAATCCACTTCTGAGTACTTTACCCCCTGGAAGAGTATTGTATATATAGGTCCACGATATCGTATAGCCCTCATACAACGGTATCGCCCTATATTCTGCACTTTGATTATTCGTTCCAAGTACTGCTTTTTTCTTGTTATCACTAATATCTTCGGAACTGTGACAGAAAATTGTCTATGCAGGTCCTGCTCTTAGTATAGCCTCCATATAACGGTACCTCCCTATATTCTGCATTTTGATGATTCGTTCCAAGTACTTTTTTTTTCTTCACTAATATCTTCGGAACTACAAGACTAGGCTATAATGTATATGGTTTTCAAAAAGTTCCAGTACTAAAATACCAATTTTCTTGTAAAACTCCATAACCTGTTCAACCCGGAATTTCCATATGATTTCAAACGATACCCATTTTTAAAATATCATTTAGCAAAAAAAGTCCTCATAGTCCCCATATGCCCGTGGGGATAATGACACACCACCAGTTATTTCACTACCCTTTTATACATATATTGATAAAAATTGAAAACGAAAAGATATTAATTTAACGATCCAAGTACTGCTTATGTCATTCGTAGTGACTACTATAATGTCATTTTCTAAATATTTAATTTAATTTATAGTAAGTTAATTATTATAAATTGTACTCTTCCTTCGTCCGTTGATTCACATAATTGTTTTTCCCAAAACACTGTTCCAATATCCATTCATTCATGAATATTACTTTGGGTAGCGGTGGCGGTGGTGGTGGACATGACGCGTGCGCATAATTTACATACACACGGTGTCGTGTGATTCCCACATAAAGCGAACAGCGGCGACGCACTTTGGGTTCGGATGAGCAAAAACAGTTGATATGTCTTATTAATAGTTGCTAGATTCTTTCTATAGAGACCGATTGGGTTCTTAGCAGAAAGACAAATACAGAACAAAAGCAAGCAGATTGTCTTTATGCTTAGAATAATTATTAATGGTGGATTCGCACAACAAAAAAACGGGGAGGAGGAGGAGCGATATCAACTACGTTTTGAAATGCTTTAAACCTGGTTTTAAGTTAATAAAATGATTGAGTTCAGTCGAATCGTTCAAACGAAACGGAGGTGTAAATCTAAGCAACGCGTACATCAACAGAATTTAGACGGTTACAAGTGGTTTGAAAAAAAAAATTCCAAAGATTCTTAACTTTATTTCATAACAAAAAGAAGAAGACAAGTGAAAAAATAAAAACGAAAATGTTGAAATTTGTGTTGGTTCTATCAGTGATTGTGGCTTTGGTGGTTATGCCATGCCAAGAAGCTGCTGCCTTCAAAGTGATTTCCATTCATAAAGGTGTGCATTTTCAAGTGAAGGATTGCAAAAAAGAAAATTAGTTAATTGTCAAAAATCCATATCCCTAGGTTCAATTGCATCAGTCCCTGCTGCCGCAGCTGCTCCTGCTCCCGCCCCAGCTTTAGATCCCAGTGCCCTGTTGAAAGGTGTTCAATCAGCTATTGCCGGAAAACTGCAACAGGTTCAAGCTTTGGTCGGCTCCTTGGTACAACAGAAGGTAGCTCTTAAACAAAACGCTTTGAACTCCATACAAAGCACTTTGGGTAGTCTTAAGAGCCAAGTCCAGGGTTTGGCCGGCCAGGTGCGACCACCATTTGTGATTCGCAAACAAATCTATGTTGGTCCACCACCAACAGCCCATGCTCCCGAAGCCACAACCACAGCCGATGTTGATGCTACCACCGTTACGGAATAAAAATTCTTCATCACCTCCTAATTTCCCCTTCTTAACGATAATTTAGTTTGATAAGCTATTGTTTCATTTAATCCCGACTTGCGTACACAATTGAGTTGTACACTTCAGATGCTCTCACAGATTATTCGAAAGATAATTTTCAATTCGAAATTACCATAAAAAATAAATTCTAAAAAAAAAAATTAAATAAATGTGTTTTGATTTTTTGATTGCCAGTTGATGGAAGGATAGGAATGCTAATGAGATTTTCAATCAGAGATATGGAAACTATTTTATTTAAATCTTTTTGTATGTGAAAGGATAAGGCAGATTGTGTGTGCGGATGTTGTGCAATGCATATTAAATTAGCTTAAATTCTTTGGATGGGTTCTTTTTATACCCTCCACCATACTATGGAGGGTATATTAACTTTGCCATTCCGTTTGTTACTCCTCGAAATACTCATGTCAGACACAACGAAGTATATATATTCTTGATCAGCGTAAAATTCTAAGTCGATTTAGCTATGTCCGCCCGTCCGTCTGTCTGTTGTAATCACGCTATCTTTCGAACGAATTGAGATAGAAGGCTAAAATTTTGCACACGTGTTTATTTTTCCAGTAGGCAGGTTAAGTTCGTAAATGGGCCATGTTTGTTCACGTTTTCATATAGCCCCCATATAACGGTACCTCCCGATATTCGGTATTTTGATGATTTTAGCGACATTATTCACCAGAATTGATTCAACTTTGGTATTTGAAGTTCGATATGGATACTACAGCCTATGACAGAAAACTATCTGGGCAGGTCCACATCTTCGTATAGCCCCCATATAACGGTACCTTCCAAAATTCTGTATTTTGATGATTTTAGCGCCATTATTCACCGGAATTGTTTTAAATTACGTATTTAGAGTTCGTAATGGGAACTACAGTCTGTGACAGAAAAATGTCTATGCACGTCCAGGTCTTCGTATAGGGCCCATATATCAGTACCTCCCTATATTCGGTATTTTGACTAGTTTAGGTACAATACCCACCGAAATTGTTTGAGGTATCGTATTTGACGTTAGTAATGGATGCTACAGCCTGTGACCGAAAATTGTCTATGCTGGTCCAGGTCTTCGCACAGCTCCGATGTAATGTTACCTCCCTATATACGATATTTTTGCTACATTATTCACCGTTTATTTCAAGTTTCGAATTTGAATATGGTAATGGCTAATGGCAAGCAATGCCTATGTAGGTCCACGTCGTATAGACCCCAATATAACGGCAATATTTGGTATTTTTAAAATTTAATTTTTTAAGGTTTATATTTTTTTTAAATTTCCAAATTCGTTCCAAATGGTGGGGGTATTCAATGTTTGGCCCGGCCGAACTTACTGCTTTTTAGCTTGTTTTTTTATCAAGTGTGGAAGTTGTTCCGGGACTTAAAAATATTTTGAAAAAATCCACGTGGGAAGGACTACTGGGCCTTGAAAAAATTGTAAAAAATTCTCTTTATGTGTTTGATTTCTCGTTGGAAGGGATACTGACCTTAAAGAAAAAAGTGTTTTAAAAATCCACGTTGTAAGTTATTCTAGGCCTTTAAAACATATTTTGAAAAATCCACCTCGGAAGTGCTGCTGTGCCTTAAGACATTTTTTTAAACTTCTCGTTGGAAGGGATACTGAGCCTTAAAAAAGTGTTTTAAAAAATCCACATTTGAATGCCTTCTGGGCCTTAAAAAATATATACTTTTTATAAAATTTACGTTGGAAGGCCAACTGGTCCTTGAATTTTTAATCCAGATTGAAGGCCTACTGGGCCCTACTAAAATATATTTTTAAAAAATTCACTTTGGAGGGCTATTGATTCTTCAAACTTATTTTTGAAAATCCACGTCGAAAGGCCTTGAAAGAAATTTTCAATAAATTCCCGTTGAAGGCCTAATGACCCTTACAAGAAATTAAGAATTCCAGAATTGGAGGCCAGATGTTCATTGATTTTTTTTTTTCTAAAAATCCACTTTAAAAGTCTTACAGGGTCTTAAACAACATTTTTTTTATGCTAAGCTTTTAAATTTTTTTTAAATTAAAACAAGTAAAAAAGCTCTAAGTTCGGCCGGGCCGAACTTTGAATACCTTCCACCATTTGGAACAAATTTGGCAATTTTCAAAAAATTAAAATCCATTAAACATTCTGTTAAAATCTTAAAAATACCGAATGTAGCCGTACATTAGGGTCTATACGACGACGTGCACCTGCATCCGAAACTTTTGTCATAAGCCTGCACAGACAATTTTCTGGCATAGGCTGTAGTATCCATTTCGAACTTCAAATACAAAATTTGAAATAATTCCGGTAAATAATGTCGCTAAAATCATTTAAATACCGTATATATGGGGTACCGTTATATACGTAGACGTATACCTGCACAGACAATTTTCTGTCACAGGCTGTGATATTCATTACGAACTTCAAATGCGAAATTCTAAACAATTCCGGTAAAGAATGTCGCTAAATTCACCAAAATACGAATATCAGGGGGTACCGTTATATGGGGGCTATTCGAAGACGTGGACCTGCACCGACAATTTTCTGTCATAGGATGTAGTATTCATTACGAACTTCCAATACCAAATTTGAAATAGTTCCGGTAAATAATGTCGCTAAAATCATCAGAATACCGAATATCGGGGGATACCGTTATATGGAGGCTATACGAAGACGTGAACCTACACGGCCCATTTTCTGTCTTATGCTGTAGTATCCATTACAAACTTCAAATACCAATTTTGAAACAATTCCGGTAAAAATGTCGCTAAAATTATCAAAATACCGCATATCGAGAGGAGGTTATATTGGGGCTATACGAAGATGTGGACCTACAGGGCCCTAGCCCGGAAGCTAGAGTGATTTCGGACATTGTTAAATCGACATAGAATTTTATGCTGATCAAGAATATATATACTTTGTGGGGTCTAAAATGTTTCGAGGTGTTACAAACAAATGACAAACTGTATATACCCTCCATATTATGGTGGAGGTTATAAAAATACTCGTTAGGCCATGAAAATGTTGGTAAATTATCCACGGAATACCTAATGGATCTTGAGAAACAATTCCTTTAAAATGTGGCTAAAACCAAAAAAAACCGAATATCTGAAAGTAACAGTTGGAAATGACGAAGAGTAGGCAGTAGACAGACTGATCACACAAATGGCGATTTGCAGCAAATTTGGTTTGAAATTGATTGGAAGAACTACTGGGCCCTGAAAAAATATTTTTAATAAGTAATACAAAAAAAAATAATATTGGAGGTCCAATGGTCCTCAAAAAAATTTAAAAAAAAAGTTGAAAGTTCCAAAGGCCTTACAAAACAAATTGAGCTTTGAGATTTGGAAAATCTATGAAACTACGGGAAAATATTTTGAAAAATCCCACGTTGGGCCTAGAGAATATTATTAAAATTTCCAAATTGGAACGCCTACGGATGCTTGACAAAGCAAGAAAATTTTCGAAAATCTAAAAAAAAATATATATGGAGTCTATACAAAACACTGATTACACAACTGACGATTTGCAGCAAATTTGGTTGGATTAAATAAAAGACCTCAATATCAAATTACAGGATTTCAGCTCTATCCCTTCACCCAATATCAAATTTAGAACTATTTAGTATTTTTCGTACAAATATAGGACGCATTTCCAAAACCGCATGCATAGCTTACCCACGGACACCAACGGAGACCTCAATATCAAATTTCAGAAATTCAGCTCTGTAATTTCCACCATCATCAAATTTAGTACAAAGTAGTAAAATATCCAACAGCAGTTCCTTCCTGAAGAAGATATAGACACTAACAGTGACATCAATATCAAATTTTAGAATTGTACCTCTATCCTTTTACCCAATACCAAATATAGTACCGTTTGGTAATTTTCGTACAAATACAGGGTAAGATGGAAAAAACTGCAACCAATTTCAGACAGCTGTAATTTCTAAGCCATTCGTTCGACAGCTTTTAAAATTATTCCAGTGACAGCTGATTATATTGTTTACAAGCGTACAAAAGCATTTTGGTGAAAATTTCCCAGAAAAAAATTATTCGTGACAGAATTCAAGCGTGGTAATGTGATTTCTTTATATTTGGCTGGAAAACCACAAGAGGCTATCTTTAGAGCACTCCAGCATTTAAATGTGAATAAATCTTTTGTGTCTCGTACCATCGCTCGTTACCGTGATACTGGTATCATATCCCGACGTCAAGGAAATGGACGGAAGAAAACAGCAACATCAGCAGAAATGGTTCGAAAAGTAAAGAAGCGACTTGATCGAAACCCGAAAACCCATTCGGCAAATATTGAAAAATGAGCTCGAGCTGAAGCCATTGAAATTTCAAAAAGTGCACGAACTTACACTGCAACAAAAAGAAAATAAACTCAAAAGATCTAAGGAGTTGCTTAGCTTGGCCGAAAGTGGTGAACTACCGATATTGTATCTGGAGTATTTTGGAAAGCAAGCGCTTCGCCGGAAATGGGCCAAAATATCGTAGAGCAACATTCGAGTAGCGCGTGACGGTTTCATTGGCCGTTTGAAGGCCATAATTCGTGCCAAATGTGACCAATTCGAACAAATCTAAACTTATAATAAAAAAAATGTAAAAATTATGATGTTTGACTTTGTTGCAGTTTTTTTATCTCAACCTGTATATTAAAGATTGCCCAAACCACAATATCCAAGCTACATAGCGAACAGCCACCCCAATACCAAATTCCAGATTTCGCGCAGTATATGTTCATCCATTACCAAATTGTACCAAATATAGTACTATTTAGTACTTTCTTGCACTTGTAGTACACATTTCCAAAACCACCTTTTTAAATGTTTTGTACCATTAAAAAACTTTATAACCTTAATTTCCAAATTTTTCAAACACCCTTTTGTACATCCGTTCTGGACTCTATCAGAAACCCTTATTATAAATTTCAAAATTCTAGCATATTCCGTTTGTCAAAAATACAAAGTATTCAATGATT